TTTGGTACAAGTGATCGTCAGAAAGAGTTAGTGATTTTTCTTTTTGTATTTGTTATATATATAGAGTTAATATAGTTTTATAAAATTTATAAAATTATTAATTAGATTTTTTTAGAACTTTTTAGATAAAAAATTATAACTATTCAAAAAATTAAAATATTTTATATAACTTTAAGTATAAACTTTCTGTATTATAAATAATCTAATACTAATAAATTGCTATATTATAAATAACTTGTTTAATAATATTTATATTTATAATTTATTTTAAATATATTGTAGTAATAAAATAAAAGTTTATACTATTAAATAGTTAATATAAATAATAATTTTAATAAATATATATACAGCCAGACCTCGATATAATCACCAGGTTGAAAAACAAGCATTTGTTGATTATAAAAAAATATAACTATATAAAGATCAAATTTTGTATGTTTTATAATGTCTGGGATTAAGAAATAGTGTAACTATAACAAGGTTGTGACTATATCAAGAGTTACTATAACGAGGTCTGACTATATATAGTAAAATAATAATACTGTATATACTGCTTTTTATACTATAAAAAAACTATAATTTTATTAAAGAGTTAATAATTATAAATTGGTTGTTTGCTTGAATAGTAATTGTATTAATAGATTTTTTAATATTAAATTATATATTACAAGAAGTACTGTATATTTATATTATATTACACTTTTAATACATTAAATAGTGATTAGAATAACGGGTACACAAATCCATTCATTATATGATTTAAAAATCACGACAGTATTATTTATATTACATAATAATACCAATTCTAGAACGGACTACGTACTAATATTTAACGCTAATTCGTTATATCTAAGAATGGCATGATCTTCGTAATTGTTCCTTTTATGAATTCACACAGGTATATAAGCAGCTGTTTTTTTACTCAGACCAATGTACTTTTCCGCAATCCTTTTGCTCACAAGGTACTTGAAACATATTATTTTGTTTTTCTATTTTATTTATTTTTTTTTGCCTAGATATAATAAAATCGACCAGCGCAAGCTAAACGTAACTATATATAGTCTTACGAAAACCGTTTATGAACTAGAGGGGGAATACAACAACCAAATAATTATAAAAATTATAACATGCATAAATTTACAGGACGTGGAAAGGAGAGTAAAGGGTTAGGTAAAGGCTTAGGTAAAGGTGGAAAGGTATCTGCTCAACGGCATAGGGTAAGAACACAATTTTACTTAGTCACCGAAATGCCTAAACATGTATAAGAGAAATTTACTATGTTAATGATAGAATAATTAATCGAATAATTTTTTTTAATAATAGAAACTTTTGCGCGAGAATATTAAGGGTATCACAAAACCGGCTATTCGCAGACTTGCCCGTCGTGGTGGTGTAAAACGAATATCAGCGGGCATATATGAAAATGCGCGTAGCGCTTTAAAAGATTTCTTGACAGATGTTCTTCGGGATACAGTTTCTTATGTTGAATATGAACGAAAGAAAACTGTTACTGTAATGGAGATATTATTGGCTCTTAAGAGACGGGGGAGAACAATTTACGGTTTTGATCACGAAATCAAGGGTCGAAAACCTCAACATTACTATTAGGTTACAACCCAAACTTTTTTTCGGATGACATTATTACGTAGTTTGGGTTTGAGAAACAGGATTTCTAATTTATTTGGATAATAACCCAAACCCAAATACGTATATCATCCCATTTTCGGTCAATAGTATCAAACTCAAAAGCCGGTGAATTTAAAACTTCGTTTTCATTTTCGAATTTAAAACCGAAAAGTGATTTAGCGATTAAGCCGAATTATCAAATAAATTAGTGAGCTAGGTCAAACAGTTATATCGGAAATGTATGCAATGAATAAAATCTTTATAAAGATGAAAGCTTTTCACATCTAAATAAACTTCAAATCATAATAAGCTTTTCAACTACGTTTTTTTTGAACTTCGAGAAGTGTCTAACAGTAATTGAGAATATCTGCGTATTCAATAATTATTAATGTCTTATCGAATATGAGATGCGCCATAGCATTCAACTCAGTACAACATAGGAGTTTCACTGACAAGAACTTTCCCGTTAAAGGCATTGAAAATAATCGAGAATTAGCAAATAAAAGGAAAATAATATTTACCTTCGATGTCCTTACCGGCGAACGTATCGCTTTTTAATATTGACTAGCCGGCTAAAAATAACAACTAATTACCTGGTTATAATATAATCTGTTCAAGTTACTACTAAGAACCAATATCGTGAAATTTTTATTATTCGGCATCATTTATTCGTACGTAGCTGTTACTGGATAGTTGTTATTACATTTTTATGTAACTATATATGCAATCTAAATTAAATATTTCGCCTTTACATAATAAATCTATTCATTTTTCGTAACCCAAACCTATATTCATTGATTTGTAATCATTTTTTTTAATGAAAAGTAATATATTAGAAGGTCGCTTGACAAAAAAAATAAGATTTTAAGTACGATAATAAAGAATCGGTTAAGTAGTAACAACTTCTTAATTTCACTGCATATAACCCGTATTATTTAGAATGTATTTAAAATTACCGAGAAATCCTACATGCGCATAATAAATAAAGCACTCTAGTCATTGTAGAACACGAAATTCCCACACTTTCTTTGTCGCATTATCCTTTCCTCGAAAAAAATTCATGGATTAGAGCCGAATTCGGCAACGAAAATCCAAAAGTCTCTCTCCAGGTCGTAACACCAAGTTATTGTAAAGAGGGAAAATGTTACCTAGGAATAGGCACGTGAACTAAGTAGGATTTCTGGTTTTCAGATGAGTTGTCTTCGTTGTGGATTTATGCGAGACCAGTGGTCCTGAATCTGCCCTTCACCTAAAGACTACGCTTAATCATTAGGCATCTATATAGCTTGATTCGTATTTGTTTAGTTAAAAAGTTGAAATTTCCAATTCTAATACTAAGAAATCATCAAACACGCTATACATCGATATGGAACACGTCTATAACTTGATGGCTTCTTTAAGGAAAATAGAATGGAGATATCATACTAAATATTTCCTGCTTAGTCTTATCCTCATGTAAAGTACTTTCCTGCTCTAGTACAAAGACAGATTAATCTTTATGAAACTGAAGATATTAGTTTGAGTCTATTAAAACAAAATATTTCTTCCTCAAGAACAAGGTTTGGTAAACAAAAATTGGCTGGAACTACGTATAGCTAATAACCTAATGCGGAATAATCTGTTGGGATATGGATCGGTTTAGGGTCGCGAAAAAATGTAAAATCATTTTCTTATATTCTAAAAATTTTGAATCCAAGCTAATTCTAATTGATTTCGTACTTACATCACTTCTTTCGAGATCGATCTTAACGTGAATGCGTTAACGTTAGTCGCAGAAACCACGCCATCGGTCACGTGGAAACTCAAATATTTTTTTCATGCTTATCGACTATTCATTTTCGAACCTTCTCTAGTCGAATTATTTCAATGAATTTACAACAGTCTTTATCAAAAAATGCTTTAAAAAAACTTTTAAAACAAAAAAAATGGGAGGAGACACGCCAAGAACGAAAAGCTGCCCAGAAAGAAAAAGATAAAAAAAAAAAACTGGAAAAAAAGAAAGCCGTGGAATTAGGTATGTCTACCTTTACCTGTTAAAGTTTTGCTGTCTATGTTGATAATGACTACCACTTCGATTCATTAGGACTCGTACCACCACCACTTAAAAAACAAAAGCCTAAACAAATCGCTACTAATATGAGAGTGGTAATTGATTTGTCTTTCGATTCACTGATGACTGACATGGTAATTTTATATCTGTTTAATAACCTGTTCTGAATTCTGTTCTGAATTATTAACATTTATCTTATTCAATTTTACAAGGAAATTACATCCGTATCTTCACAATTGACTCGTTGTTATGCTGCAAATCGGTCTACTTCGCGTCCCGTAAATTTATTTTTTACTTCATACGGTCAACGTATTCAAAATCGTTTCGATACAAAAATCCAGAGTCATACAAATTGGAAAGATGTGGTATTTGATACTAAGTCATATTTAGAACGTTTCGATAAAAATGATTTGGTGTATTTGACTGCTGATGCTACCGATGTGGTAGATGAATTAAATGAAAATAAAGTTTACGTAATTGGTGGAATAGTAGATAAGAACAGGCATAAAGTATTTTATCTATTGGCTGTATTTCTTGTCTATCTATATTCTACTTCTCTTATTAATTTATTTTATTTCTTAGAATCTTTGTTATGATAAGGCAAAAGAAGAAAATATTGCAACTGCTCAATTACCCATCGAAAATTGTATTAAATTGACCACAAGAAAGGTGCTCGCGATTAATCATGGTTAATATTATTGTCTTATTAAATATCATGGCTAATAATGAAACCGGCTGATGTTGACTATTCAAATCTACTTAATCTATTCATATATACTCTTTTATTTAGAATTCCAATCCGAATACACAGATCAAATATCCGGATAATTTGACAGATATTCGGATAATTATTCGGATATCAATAGTAAATGGATAACGAATATCTAATAATTATCCGGATAAACGGATAATGGATTGGAATTCTACTTTTATTAATAATTTTTAACCTTAAATATCAGAAATTTTAAAATTTCTTATTAAAATAGGATCATCAGCCCATCAGCCAATCTCAGGATCAGCCGTAACATCAATATTTATTTTCATTGCCATTCATTATATATTCTAATTCTATGTTTTATGTAATCTTGCTTCAGTATTCGAAATCCTTGTCCGATGGTTAGAATGTAAAGATTGGCAAAAAGCTTTTCTGGAAGTGATACCTCAAAGGAAATTCAATGATGAAGGAAAGAAAAAAAGGAGGATAAGAAAAGATACCGGTACTATTGACTTAAAGGGTGATATTCCCGATACCGTGCAAAATGGTCTCGTGAAAGAATATGAATCTTCTGAACAAGTGTAATGCTATTTTGTGGTATGCAACGTTTAATCTTTCATATAGATGGGTAGAGATTGGATCTGTATAAAATTTGAACACCGGGTCACCCACCCGCTTAAAAAATCATTACCGGGTCACAAACTGTGTCATTTTGAATAATCTGGTTGACTCAGTTAAGAAAGCATAATTAATGACAATTAATCAAATATACGAAACTTTTTACTTTCACTTAACGAGTGTAACGGTTGTAATGACTAGATGATTCACGCACTCTTACATAATTAAACTAATTAAACATCAATTTTTCGCAGACCATTCAACCAGGTCGTAGAAAATGAGCCGAATCCCTCTTCATTAATATTATCTAGTCTAATGGTGTTAATGTAAAAATTGCGATAAAACCAATGTTTTCAAAAAATTCCCTGTAGCTCGAAAATTTGCCTACAAACTACTTTTCGTGTACTAAAAAATTTCTTGCAACATGTTAGCATAAGTAATTTTTACACGAACTTAGCACTAACCCTTCTATTATTTAAGAATGTAGTTAATAATTTTAATGGTGCTTGATCGAAAGTCTGATGTAATCCATTCGGTCAATTTGAGACTGGATTTTTAGGTACTTTGGAGAAATTTAATAAATCCGACCTCACGTTAGTCCCTCGTAATTACGAATTTAATGCAATAAATAACGTGATCGGTTAGCAGATCTTATATTAGAGATGGCAAATGTTTTAAAACAACCTGTTTTAAAACAACCTGTTTTAAAACATTAATAAAAAACAATAAAAAACAATATTTATAAACCAATCATAGTAAGAATTTTAATCATGTGATATATAGGGAATAGGTTAAAAAAATTTTTTTAAAATTTTTCTACCTTAATATTAATAATCCTTTTAATATCTAAAAAATTCTTAAACTATATTATGCAAGTTTACTAATGTACTATTGGTATCCGATACCACAATTATTATATCTCAAACCAACTAAAATCAGATATATTAAGTAAAAAAAAATGTTCAAAAACCTCAAAAATCTTATATTAATCAAATTTTGAATCTTTATATTTGATCTTTTTTTAGTTTATAACTCTACCCTAACCTTACAAAAATATATATAGTATTGAACACTACTAGTATATTTTAGTATTCTTTATATTATATACTTAAAAAAATTTATATATAGTTGTATTTATAAAGTATAAATTTTTTTTATTATTTAATAAAAAACACAAAAATGTTTTAAAACATGTTTTAAAACACAAGAAAATAATAAACATGTTTTTTGCCATCCCTATCTTATACAGTATGATATGGGATTCTTATATTAATATAATCACTAGTTGCAATGTAACGGTAATACGTATAAAGATCAAGCATAACAAATTTTGTCTTTTTTTTTTTTTTAAAGAAAATAATTATAACTTAAGTTTTATTCACGTACGTACGAAATTACCTTTTTCTAATGAAGTTAGTAA